GGGAGGATTGCTCAAGGTCAGGAGTTTGAGAACAGCCTGAGCAAGAGCGAGACCCCGTCTCTACTAAAAATAGGAAGAAATTAGCTGGACAACTAAAAATATATAGAAATAATTAGATGGGCATGGTGGCGCATGCCTGTAGTCCCAGCTACTCCGGAGGCTGAGGCAGAAGGATTGCTTGAGCCCAGGAGTTTGAGGTTGCTGTGAGCTGGGCTGACACCACAGCACTCTAGCCCGGGCAACAGAGCGAGACTCTGTCTCCAAAAAAAAAAAATGATCTGTGTAAAAAAGTTAAATGTAGTACTGAAGAAAAGAGAGATAAACCAGATGACTTATCAATACTCTTTTTCAGTTTCATAATTTTATTTTTTAATAAATATTAAAATTTTGAAAATTAAAAAGTTAAAAGTTAAAAGTAGGTTTAATTTTTGGTAATTTTGATTTCAACATAAAAGCCAGTTTTTAATGTTAGTTCATAGAATTTAGTCTTGCTAGTAAGTTACTGTTGTTTGACAAATGAAAGTTTCCTAGTCTCTTTTTAATGTACTATATACATTGGGTGTTTTTAGTACCTTTTTGTTTGTGTTAATTATTCATCCATACCGTTGATCAATTTTTTAATTAAATTGTTGAGTCCAAATCTGTTATTTAAATTGTTGAACCATGTGAAATTTCCATTTTTGTCAGAAAAGATCAAATATTAATGGTTTCATGTGGTTTAACCTAATAAGTCTTTGAAAGCCCAAAGATACCATTTTCACTAGAAAATGGATCTGATTATTTGAGTTGAAGGAATTAAAATGGTTCCTTTGGAAATTTTATGTTTCATAATCTTAGGTTCATAAAACATTTGCACAAAACATTTGTGCTTTCATTGTCTAGGCTGGATATATAATTTTGTATAATTAAAAAAAGTTAGATTTTGTGTACAATAAGAACAAAACAATAAATAAAACCAAATACTTCCCAGTAAGATGAGTAATGTAAGAGTTCCTTCACAGTTTCCTGCTATGTCCCCACAAAGAAATTGATTAAAATGATTCAAAGAAAAGCAGAAATAGGAATTTTGCTAGTAATGTTGAAAATAGGGAATTGTCAAACACATATCATTAATTTGGAAGAATTTTTTGTCTATCATGTTAAAGTTTGAACTAAGCTGCTGGGAACTGATATACCACTCTCCTTCTCAAGAGAGCAGTGTAGAATTTTGGGAAATATAAATGGAGGATATTCTAGGGAAAATTCTAGTAAGTTCTAGAAAGCTGAGTTGGCTTTCTAGATGGAATATGAACTTGCCCTGATGTTGTTTAGAACGCTTTTAATATGGAAGGGTGTAGTCAGAAACAAAGGATGGATGTGAGAGAGATGAGAAGTGGTCCCTCTGGAGCCTTTTGATAGCTGTAGGCTATGGACTAAGAACAGCAATAGCACATACACCTTATCCAATAGTTCACAGGCCCAAGGGATCTTTTCTAGACTACATTTCTAAAAGCATAGCCAGTTCACCTCAAAGCAGAGGAGCATTTTGGAATTAGGGGTGGGGTAGTGAGATTGGTTATTCTCCCTAATTGGTGAGGCTGGTCTCTGGGAAGGTGGTTTCAAAAAATACCAAGAGGCCGGGCGCCGTGGCTCACGCCTGTAATCCTAGGACTCTGGGAGGCCGAGGCGGGCGGATTGTTTGAGCTCAGGAGTTCAAAACCAGCCTGAGCAAGAGCGAGACCCGTCTCTACTAAAAATAGAAAGAAATTAATTGGACAACTAAAAATGTATAGAAAAGACTAGCCGGACATGATGGCACATGCCTGTAGTCCCAGCTACTCGGGAGGCTGAGGCAGGAGGATGGCTTGAGCCCAGGAGTTTGAGGTTGCTGTGAGCTAGGCTGATGCCATGGCACTCACTCTAGCCAGGGCAACAAAATGAGACTCTGTCTCAAAAAAAAAAAAAAAATACCAAGAAAATGCATGTGGAGACAGAGACTGCCCTCGGATCCATATCCTTCCCTGCCTCTCAAGAGCTGATGAAAGACTTCGCCTGTATCTGTCACCCTATCCTTCTGCTTACTGTAAGAAAAATTTTTATTCAAAAAAATCAAATGAAAAGTTATGAGGATAGTACAAACAACTTCTCTACACATTTCACCTGTTGTGAACATTTTGCCTGTCATCTATCTATGGATCTTTGTTTCTTGCAGAACCATTTAAGAGTAAATTGCAGAAATCATGTCTCTTTACCCCCAAATAATTTAGTGTTTATTTCCTAAGAACACAGGCAATTTAACGTTTGCACAGTATTATCTGTTCTATAGTCTATATTATGTTATTTTTCCAGTAACGTTCTTGATAGCATTTATTTTTTCTGGTCCAAGATCCAGTCCAGGATTGCGCTTTGCATTTAGCTGTCCATTCTGCTTTAGTCTTCTGTATTCTCGGGCATTTCCTCAGCCTTTGTATTTGATGACCTTGACTTTTTTTTAAAGTACAAGCCATTTGTTTTATACAGAATCCCTCAGTTTGGATGTGTCTGATGTTTCCTCAAGATTGGATTCAGATTATGCTTTTTTGGCAGGAATACCGGCTAATGAGGGGTGTCCTCTAAGCGTCACTTCAGGAGGCACGTGATCTCATTAAGTCCCATTATTGTCAACGGGAACTTCGAACACTTGATTAAGATGCTGTCTCCCAGCTTTCTCCACTGTGAAGTTAGCATTTTTCCCTTTGTAAATTAGTGAGCACTTTGTGGGGAGATAACTTTTCATTTTTTATTCTCGCCTGAATCAGTTCTTTCTGTGATGGTTGCAAAATGGTGATTTTTCCAACATTCATCATTCCTTCTACTTTTTTTTTTTTTTTTTTGAGGCAAGGACTCATTCTGTCACCCAGGCTGGAGTGCAGTGGTGTCATCATAGCTCACTACAACCTCAAACTCGTGGACTCAAGTGATCCACCTGCCTCAGCCTCCTGAGTAGCTGGGACTACAGTCGTGCACCCTCACGCCCAGCAAATTTTTCTGTTTTTTAGAAAGACAGGGTCTCGCTCTTGCTTAGGCTGCTCTTGAACTGCTGGCCTGAAGCAATCCTCCTACTTGGGCCTCCCCTAAATGCTAGGATTATAGGTATAAGCCACTGCACCTGGCCCATTCCTTCTGTGTTTATTAGTTGGCATTCTACTGTAAGAAACACCTTGCCCTCATCTCTTAATTTTTATTTCTTTGTTATTGGTATGGACTTGTGGATTCTTATCTTATTTAATAGGTTATAATCCATTACAATCAGTATCTGTTTCAGTACTTAAATTGTCCCTCATTTGACCAGGGGGAGCCTCTCAAGTCCCCTCCTTTGTCCTTTTGACATGTCCTGTCATTTTTTTCTTTTAATAACGCTTTCTTGCTGACACAAGAATGTTCTTGGTTCATCTTAAAGTTATTTCTCCAAAGAGTTTTAGTTCCTTTTAGTGGCAGATGGTGTTTACAAACCAATATCTAGGCACTGCTTAAGTCTTCAGGGGAGGATTCTGAAGGTACTCAGTCCTCGGGCCTCTTCGCACTGTGTACTTCATGCTGTCTCAGTTATCCTCATTGTTTCAATGTCTACATTTATCCTCATACCAGAATATGGTATTTCCCATACCAGGTTTTTCTTGACCTGTGATTGTCTCAAATTAGTAAAATGAATTACTTTTTAACTAGGGTAGTTGTACATTTGGCTCATTGAGTTTCTAGGGATTGTGAATTTGACCAAAGCCTGGCTTAGGGAAATTCTTTATAGAATAGGAAATACAGAGGAAACATTTAGCCTATGGAAATTAATGATCATGCTTTAAAATATGATATATTTTTTATTTTATTATGTATATTATCAGTTTCTGCCTCATCTCTGTGTCTGGTTGATATAAATATGGTCTTATAGTTGTTTGACCCTTTCAACAAATGATGTTAGTATTATGCATAAAGTGTTCATTCCAAAAGCTTTTATCTTTCTCCATCCTTAAATTTCTGAAGTGCCAAGTAGAGAGTGATCACATTCTTACAAATAATAGCAGGACTAAGTTAATAGTTGCATTATTATAAGAAGTCAGGGCTCTCTCTCTCTTTCTCTCTCTCCCCGTTTCTTTTTTTAAGAGACAAGGTCTTGCTCTGTCACCCAGGCTGGAGTGATGCAGTGGCGTGACCATAGGTCACTGTAACCTCATATTCTGGGCTCAAGCAATCTTCCCACCTTAGCTTCCCAAAGCGCTGGGATCATAAGAAGAATGCCTGGCCTCTTTTTTATTTTTAGTTATGTATCAATGAATAAATATTTTCTTCTGAAAAATTTGACTTTAACATTTCTAATCCTTTAGTTCTGTTTGGATTGTTTTCCTTCCTTCCTTCCCTTCCTTCCTTTCTTTCTTTCTTTCTTTCCTTTCTTGTCTTTCTTGTCTTTCAACAACTGGTAATCAATTTGTTAAAACAGTTGCCTTAAGCATCTGTAATGGTGACTTCAGCGTCAGCTCGTCAGCTGCCTTCTCAATACTGATGGAAGTAATCTGTTTAAACAATCTCAGAAGGACTGTGCAAGTCAATGAGTCACTTGTGGATTCTCATCTGGAAGCTATCCCAAGTCTCAGAATCTTCACCACAAGGAGTTTTTTTTTTTAGTGATTCTCAAAGTCTTGGTAGGCATCCGAACGTCTTTTTACTTTGAGATTCTTTTCCTTTGAGCCTCTGATGAAGTCAGCACACACTTTCTCCAGGAATTTTCCGTTGTAGCTGGTTAGGGTAATTCTAATTCGGTGAACGCCACGTGTGGCTCCACAGGTGTTTTTCCGGTATCTGTAAAAGCCATGGCTGTGGCGCGGCTTCCTGACCGGCTTGTTCCTTGGCAAGAGGGAACAGCAGTGAGTCAGGAGCAGAAGTGGGCACACCACGGCCGCTGCACCTGCGACCGCGTCTTCCTCGAAACGACTTTTTTTTTTTTTTTTTTAAAAGACGAATACTAATAACTTTTTTGGTTTTGCTTCTAGAAAAACTTATTGCTTATCAACGAGAATTTCTTGCTTTGAAAGAACGTCTTCGAATAGCCGAGCATAGAATCTCTCAGCGCTCTTCTGAATTAAATACCATTGTACAGCAGTTCAGGCGTGTAGGAGCCGAAACAAATGGAAGTAAGGCTACAGTGACTAAGTTTTCAGGTATCACACATTTTTTGTATTATAAAAGATTACATTTTCAAAGGATTATATGAAATATTTTATTTGAAAGTTGCATAGTTTATCAGCCAGCATTTGTTACCCTTTTCAGAGAGAAAAATCACACAAAGCTTTCCATTCTGGTAAATTATAAAAGAATTTTTATTAATTGCTAAATTTGATTTTAAGAGAGTAATATTAAGTTAAATTTCAGTTGTATAAATTTCACTGGCAATAGTGAAGAACCTGCATCTTTTAAAATATATTCAAAATGAGATTGAAATGTAACTTTGTGTTTATACATGTTTATGTTGTGACTTATGTGTGGGCTTCAGATGGATTCCGGAGAAATCTTTGAGTTTTTTGAAGCAATTAGTGCTCTTAAATCTGATTTGTAATAAAGAAGATACCTAGTTTTATAATAGATACTTTGGGAACATCTGACTGGTTCCTTCTCTACAAATGTCTGTTTAGAGTAAGATGAATGCCAGTTATCTCCTCCGTTTCTGTGCTCTTTTTATTCTGATAATTAAATTGATATATGCATATAATCAATTGGCTCCAAATTTGCATAACCTTTCTAAATTAACATACTTTTTCATTTAGCTTCACCTATTGTAAAAAACCGTGAATTCCTCTCATCTTGAGATCTATTACCCCACCTTACTTTTAAAGTTTTATGCTCCTTGCTTTGTTTCCTGCTGATAAAATTTGTATTATGTCCCAGTAGCATTTAAAATTATGGGATGGTAAAGATAAAAAATAAATTACCCATAAGCCTGTTATCAAGTGATTCCTGCTAACATTTTTGTTTCCTTCTAGTTTTTTTTCTCATGCATATTTTTATTCAAAATTATAATCATATGTTATAGCCTGATTTTTACTCTTGAGATTATACTGAGCATTTTAAAAATATCATTAAATATTTTTCAAAATACTATTTTTAATGGCTGTAAATATGCCAGCTCTTCATATACCCTACTATATTAAACATTTTCTACAATTAGGCAAATGCGTTTTTTTTCTGGATTGTTTTTTTCTCCTCAGTTTATAATCCTGTGGTGAACATCTTTACATATAGATCGATCACAGTTCTGGTAGCCTTTAAGTTATTTTCATAAGATTATGACTTTCTTAAAAACAGGATCTAGGTTTTGACAACTGCTGATTTTCAAACACATGACATAGTTTGGCTGGAACTTAGTAGGTAATCTCTAAATATTTGTTGAATGCATACAAGTTAAATTCTTAAAAGGGAAGTTACTGAGTAATAGGACAAATATTTTAGGATCTTTGATACTGCTCTGAATAGCTGAAACACTTTTCACTTTATCACCAATATTTAATACTATTAATCTAATTTGATATGCAGAAATCAATACATTGTAATTTGTAATCGTTTCTCTATTAATGGGATTAAAGTTTCATTTCATATGTAATAGTCACTTGCATTTCTTTTGTGATTTTTGTTTCTTGTATTTTTTAGTGGAATTAAGACTATAAATTCTTACTGCTAACTTCCTGTTTCGAAGGTTCAATTCTAGTTTAAGCAATGTTATTTTAAAATTTCATTATACTACCAAGTTTTTATTTAGTTTATCATAGTAAACTATTCGTTGGTTCCTCTAATAAAAACTGAAACTATTTGAAAGTTGTGCTCTGTACTGAACAGTCTCCACTTGTGCTGTTTAAATTATTTTACTTGAATTTTTTAGAAAAAAATATCCCTTCATGTGAAATTTTGAGAAAATGTAAATGCATAAAGAAAGTGGAAGTTACCGGTGGTCAATGTACATATTATCATTACATTTTCGTAAGTGGCTAGCATATTTAGAGCCTGTTTAGTAAGCCTGGGTTCTGGCACATTATGAAGGTAAGTGGTTAGCATTCCAGCTTCTTGCGGCAGTTTGACTAACCCTTTTGGCTTCCTGCAGCCTGTTTTATCAACATCATGACCTGTGAGATTGGTTGTGAAAGTCCTTTTCATTTTAAATGGAGATATCATTCACCAAAGTATGAAACTAGGAAAGAAAATTCTTTAGTTCTCTCCTTCTTAGAAATTGTACTACTGTTTTTATGAAATTAGCTTTTATAAGGTAACATTTTCCTGTGGATTAATTATACTTCTGTGTTTCAGATAATACCCTAAAGCTACTAAAGGAGTTAACAAGCAAAAAATCTCTTCAAGTGCCAAGTATTTATTATCATTTGCCCCATTTATTGCAAAATGAAGGAAGCCTTCAACCTGCTGTGCAGATTGGCAATGGAAGAACAGGAGGTTTGTTTATTTTGTTTCCTAGTGTGGTTGTATTATACTACTGGTCTTAATTGTGTCTTGGAATATTATGTTGACCGTTGGAAGTCCAGCAGGTCAAAGAACAAAAATTCTTTCTTTGTCTGTGCACAGTAACTTCAGACTCATTCTAAACTTCATGTTGAAAGGAGCTGGATGTTTTCCTTCATAGGCTGAAATAATGTTGCCCAAAAGGATCATGAGAAATCTAGTTCAGGCTCCATCTCCAGGCAGACAAATGTTTAAACCTTTGTAATTTTTGTTTTAAAAATTTGGGAGAGATGACTTTTTCTTCCCCTTATATCTTATTTCAACAGTAATAGCTCTTACGGTCATGTCAAGAAGGGTTTTCTTATGTCTGCCCTACTTTTTCTTACAGAGATGTAAGTAGATGGTATCTTTCATTTAACTTTTCATGCAATAACAGAAATATTTCGGTTTGCTGCTTTTTTCTGATTTACCCAAAAGATAATTGATAGCATTTTTTTCTCCCCTTGTCAAAGCTACCAGAGCTGCTTGAATTTTCCTTATAGGATCTATTAATATTTAGCCCTCTTTTATACTTTTTATTCCTCAGTTTTGGCTTTGTTAATCTTTATAGGCAGAGACTAAAATAATAACTTTGTTTTCCTACAAGTCTTAAACAAGTGACAAAATGATTATTTCATAGATATTGAAATTAATTTTTGTGTTTTTGAAATGCTGGTTTATTCTGCTTAAATCAATAGGATTCTTAAGTATTTAAGTGTCTTGTTTTTTGGTCATATTTTCTCATTTTATTTGATCTATAACTGTAAGCTTTTACATTCATCTTGCTTTAGTTCTGCCATCCTTCTATTTTACTACTAATTTGAAATAATATACTATCTTCTCTCCTAAGGAGGTGGAAACTCTTAAAATATCATATTCAGATGAACTCATTCTTCTCTTTATTGATTCAAAAATATTTATTGAGGCCAAGTACTCTGCGGGTGCCACATGTACAAAGACTAACAAGATGTGTGGGGTACTCTAAATTATACTTTTTAAAATATTGATCATTAATTATTTTTGAAGCTGGTATCTCTCCCTTTAATAATCACTATTTTAGGCCAGGTGAGGTGGCTCATGCCTATAATCCTAGCACTCTGGGAGGCCAAGGCGGGAGGGTTGCTTGAGCTCAGGAGTTCAGAGACCAGCCTGAGCAAGAGCAAGACCCCGTCTCTACTAAAAATAGAAAAAATTAGCTGGATGTCACGATGTGCACCTGCAGTCTCAGCTACTCGGGAGGCTGAGGCAAGAGGATCCTTGAGCCCAGGAGTTTGAGGTTGCTGTGAGCCATGATGAAGCCATTGCACTCTACCCAGGGCAACAGAGTGAGACTCTGTCAATCAATCAATAAAGAAATAATCTTTATTTTTTATTTTATTATTTCTTTAAACATTCTTATAAAGCTGATGTTATTTTGAAAGGTAGAAAAAGCAGATGGCTTGGGGAAAAAAAGACAAGCATTGTTCACATTAAAAGTTTTTCTTCCTAAATCCTTAGGACAATGGATCTTAATATCTTTAGAGCTGCAGAACCCTTTGAATAGCCTAGGAAAGCTATCAACTTCTACTTAGAAAAATGACCATAGGAAAAAAACTTTCTATGTAATTTCTGGGATTTTTATGGAACCTATCTAGGGACTTCATCTTAAGAATTTCTGTTTTTTAGATCAAAGAAAACTTGCTTCTTGATAAAAATTCTGTTCTTAAGTGATCAGGCTGATTAATTAGGGAACAGCTTTCAGAGCAGCTAACCCTTCCTAAGGCTAAAGAGGGAGAGCGCAGTGCTCATGTGGCTACTGACCACATGAGAAAGGCCAGAATTCTCACATCCAGAACGAAAAACCTGCCAGCTCACCCACCCAGCACCACATCTGTATCTTCCCACAAAATTTGCAAAGGCAGGTATGTACAGTAAACAGACACAGCAACTACAGAAGGGTAAACAGGCATCTGCTATAACTAGGAGTTGCCAAATATTTAAGAAAATCAACACTGAATTACTTCATACTCAAGAAAATTTAGTTTGTAGAGCAAACAGAATATAATTTAAAAATAAAACATAATCAACACATTTTTAGAGAGATGAGAGAAGACAACTCACCCATAGAACAATAGCTGACTATTTTATGATGGAATCGGTTAGAAATCTTTGTGTCTTTCATTTCAGTGATTATATTTTAAATTTCCGTATAGATGGACTGATTAAGAGTAGACACAGCTAAAGATCAAATTAGTGATCAGAAAGACTGAGTTGTGTGGTTCTTCCAGAATGTGGTATAAAGTGCATAAAGAATGGAAGTAGACAAAAATTTTAATATCCATATGGTAGGAATTTCAGAAGAAGAGAACAAAGAGAGTGAAGGGAGGAAATAAATAATAGAAGAAAATTTCTCTGAGTTGAAGAAACACTCAGGTCTTCAGATTAAGGGCCCATTCAGGACAGAGCAAGACGACTAAGAAAAGACCCAGGTCAGGTTATCTACCAAAACAGCACTGCTGGCTGACAGAGGACAGCAGGCAATACTTGAAGTATTTGCTGAAGTAAAAGTCCACGAGCACCTGCTGTGTGCCAGGCACTTTGCCAGGTGCTTTTTACACAAAAGTAGAAGTGGTTCCTAGTTTGTGGAGCTTCAGTCTAGTAAAGGAGACATGCATGAGTCCAATAATCAATTATAGAAATAATGGTATAGTTTCAACTTTAATAAGTGATATAAAGGGTCCTTTGAGAATGTATAAAAGGGGCATTTAACCTAATTCAAGACTTTAGGGAGGTCTTAAAACATACACTTGACCTGAAACCAGTAGAATGTGTAGTTTACTGGTGAAGATGGATGTGTTAGTTTCCCATTGCTGGTATAACAAATTACCACAAGCTCAATGACTTAAAACAACACAAATTAATTATTTCACAGTTTTAGAAGGCAGAAGTCCTAACATCAAGATGTCAAAAGGGGTGTGTTCCTTCTGGAAGCTCTAGGGAAGGATCTGTTTCCTTGCCTTTTCCTGCTGCCTACATTCCTTTGGCCTCTTTCTTCATCTTCAAAGCATAGTATCTTCCAGTCTCTCTCTGACTGTGACCCTCTTGCTTCTCTTGTTACGTCTCCATCTCTCACTCTGGCCTTCTTACCTTCCTCTCAGAAAGACCCCTGTGATTACATTGGGCCCACCGAGTAATCCAGCGTAATCTCACCTCCAGATCCTTAGCTCAATCACATCTGCAAAGTCCTTTTTGCCATGTGAGGTAACATAGTCACAGGTTCCAGGAATTAGGGCATGGGTATCTTTGGGAGACCATTATTCTCTCTACCACAGTGGGAGAAAAGAGTATTCCAGAAAAAGGAAAGCGCACTACAAAAGCCCTGTGATAGAAGGGAACATGGAATGTTCTAGAAAATGAAAGGCCACTGTGGCTGAAGTGTAGAGTGAGGGGAGGCATGGAACAGGATGAGGCTAGAGATGTAAGTCGAGGCCTGACAGCGTAGGGCCTTCCAGACCATTTATAGGATGTTGGTTTTTATCCTAAGAGCAGTAGGAAGCCATTGAAGGGTTTTCAACAGGACTTTTCAAGGATGACTTTGTAAGATTAAAATTTTGTGAAGATCACATTTAGTGCAATAGGAAGGATGGGGTTATGGGAAGAAGAATAGTTTGTGAAAGACCAGAAAAGAGGCTATTTCAGTGATTTACTTGAGAGAGGATAAAGTTGGACTAGGTAATGTAGCAGTAGAGATGGAAAGAAGATGGATTTAAGAGTGGTTTGGATATATGGGAATGTATAAAGGAGGGACATAGTCATGGACTGGATTTGTGGACTGAGGTGAAGGGGAGTGGTCAAAGATAAGTCCTAGGTTTCGGGATCGAGTAACTGAATGCATGGTGGGTGTTTTCACTTAGGTAGGGGACCATAGAAAATCTTTCCCAGCATTGTTTTGCAAGGGAAGATAAGATCATAGATTAAATTTGTATAAAATTAGGATATGATAAGTTTGGAGGTGATTTTGAGATACCACAATTGAGATGTCAACTAGGCAATTTGATATTTAGGTCTGGGACTCAAAAGAGAGATCTGAGTTAGATTTAATTTTGAATCATTGTTTGCGAGTAAGTGGTTGTTGAAGACCTGGGTATGGATGAGATCACCTAGGGCCTAGGATTGAGCCTTGAAGGTTCTCTTCAGCAGATAATTTCCAGGGAAAGAGAAAGTTGAACCCAGGGAAGACAGAGGGAAAGTGCAACTAGACAGTAGAAGGAAAAATATATTGTCATGGAATATAAGGAAAGAAATGAGGAATAAATGACTGAAGTCAAATCACAAGGAAACACGATAGGCTAAAAACATTTGACTAGCAATGAATATTTGAAAAAAACATAATTTAGTTATAACTGAAGGTGGATTGAGTTATTGACGATTGAGTATGCTAAGATTGTTCCTAAATTTTCTTGATTTCATACTAGAGTTTGAAAACTTCCTGGGAAAGTGAAAGAAAACTGAAATAGTAACAGTTGATAGCTCTGCCAAATTATAAACACCATGAGGCAGGGGCCTTATCTGACTTATGACTGTATTTCAGATTGTCTAGTACTTAACAAATATATGTGCACCATTAATACTTGAATTGAAAATATTGGGTAGTTAGTCCATGGGACAAAGAACTTAGCCCAACCCTTTGGCTCTATTTCTGTTTGGTCCTTGGTCTACCTTGCTCCTCCCTAAAAGGATGGTATGACCATTTTCTTCACTTTGCTGGTAGATTTCTTCTGAACTCTAACCCCTTAGAATACATACATTTTGTGGATTTGTAAGTCAGACAGGACGGGCTGGGTTATGTTTTGGTAACCACCCCCAAATCTCAGTGGTTGAAGTAACCAATGTTTATTTTTTTGTTCACGGTACATGTCTGTGACGGTTGACAGAGTGCTTTGTGCATTACCCATCACCCAAGGATCCAGGCTGACAGAGCAGTTGCCATCTTCAGTCTTACTGGCAACTCTGCCAAAGACAAAGACACCCTGAAGGATCCACACTACAGTTACCGCGCTTAGCCAGTAGGTTACACCTCCTGGTGGCTCAGGGACTGTTGCTAATCACGGGACCCCTCCCCACACTGTCCCCAGCCATAAGGGGACCAAGAAGTGCAATCTCATCTCACCGTGGGCTCAGAAGGCAGGGAAAACTGCTGTTTTTGTTGTGGTAATTTTGTGAATTAACACAAGCTTGGTTACTTTAATTCTGTAGGTTTGGCTGAAGTTAGTACTTTCATTTTTAGTGCTTTTGGAATCCTTGGCTTAAACTAAAGAATTTAAATTTCAGCTTTAAAACAGAATATAAAATGGGAAAAATGGCTTATTCTCTAAACAGGCCATCTGAACTTAAACAAAGCAAAACAGAAACAAACAAAACCCTAAGAATGTGGTAGGGAGTAGAGAATTTGCATTATCACTTATACTATTTTTGTTTGCATACTCTGGGTCTGCATGGTTTTGCTTTTTTCATAAACAAAGTCTTTACACTCCATATAAGTTAACATTTCCCATGAATGCATCCCATCATAGTTGTTACACTTTTAGGCTATATTCTAAACATTTAAAATCTTTTCTATTTAAATTCAGAGGTAGATTAAAGTATGTGGAAATTTGCTCCCAGGGTAACTCATCCTGTCTTTTGGCATCTTAGAGTAACACAGTCAAAACAGAAATCTTGATTTGCCAGCCTGGGCAATAGTGAGACCCCATCTCTACAAAAAATAAAAATTTAGCCAGGTGTGGTGGCATGAGCCTGTCGTCCCAGTAACTCAGGAGGCTGAGGCAGGAGAATCACTTGAGCCCAGGAGTTTGAGGTTGCTGTGAGCTATCATTGCACCACTGCACTCTAGCTGGGGTGACAGAGCAAGACCCAGTCGCAAAAAAAAAAAATCTTGATTTGGAGCCTTCTCCCTTGCCAGTGTGTTTTTCAGAGTAAAAGACACCCCAGGGTTTACGTGAGTCCTTGATTCTTCCCCTTGGCTCTCCCAGTCTGAAGCCCTGCTGGGGAGAGTCTCCAGAATGTACCCCAAATCCATCCACTCGTCTCCATCTCTTCACACGCCCTAATTCAAACCACCATCTTTTCCTTTAATTAGTTCAGCAACTTCCTAACCGATCTCTCCAGAATGCTTGTACTTTTAAAATAATGCCTTTAGTCCACAATTTAGTAATCTCTTGAAATTATAAATAGTGTCACTACCTTATTTAAGACCTTACGATGGCTTTCTCCTGCACTCAGAATTAAAATGAGATTTGTTTTATGCGCTCTGATTCCTGACTGATTCTCTGAATCTAGGCTTATTCTGCTTTAGATACATTCTGTTCTTGCTATTTCTTCACTATGTCAAGACTATTCTGTCTTTAGAGCCTTGCTGTTTCCTCTTTTGGAATGTTCTTCCTCAGCCTTTTCTCGTCATTAGTTAGCAGCTCACTACTTGATATCAGAGAGGCCTTCCGTGACCACACTGTCCGTAGAGAACCCCCCCAGCCCCCACATTCATCACACTTTCTAACATCACCACGTTTTATTTTGTATAGTACATAACATCCTCTAAGATTTTATTTATCTTTTCCCCCTCCTAGAATGTAAATGTCATGAGGGCAGGGACTGTATTTATGTTGTTCACCATTATGAGCCTAACACCAGAATAATGCCTTGTATTTAATAGCTGTATAATAAATGTGTGCAGAACAAATAGAGCAAATCTCGTTTTGAGTCCTGGACAACTCTTCATCCCTAAAATGGAAAAGAGATCTGACATGGAATTTTGGGACAGTCCCTTAAACCCTTTGTACCTTAGTATTCTTACCTGCAGAATCATGGTGGTACACTATGTGACCTTTATGCTTTCTTTTAGCTTTCAAATTTTATGACTTCTAGATTTTTTGTAGCATCTCCAGTAAACTGTTACATAATTAAGACTAAATTATTTTTTAACATTTGCAAGACACTTTTCTATTGATCTATAACACTTAGAATACTAAGACTTAAGGCATATTTTTAAAAACTTGCTTTGAAATACAGTCAGTTCTGTAACACAATATGTGTTCTTGAAAATCCCTGCACTATGCAAAATTGTGCAATCAAATGAGAAAAATGAGGTTAGGATCACAACACTCAAAAACTTTAAGTGGCTGGGCGCGGTGGCTCACGCCTGTAATCCTAGCTAGCTCTCTGGGAGGCCGAGGCAGGCGGATTGTTTGAGTTCAGGAGTTCGAAACCAGCCTGAGCAAGAACGAGACCCCGTCTCTACTAAAAATAGAAAGAAATTGGACAACTAAAAATATATAGAGAAAAAATTAGCCGGGCATGGTGGCGCATGCCTGTAGTCCCAGCTACTCCGGAGGCTGAGGCGGGAGGATGGCTTGAGCCCAGGAGTCTGAGGTTGCTGTGAGCTAGGCTGATGCCACGGCACTCTAGCCTGGGCAACGCAGTGAGACTTTGTCTCAAAAAAAAAAAAAAAAACTTTTTAAGTTACACATAAGAAAGGATAAGAACCTAATAACGGTAGCACAATTTTATGCAGGTTAAATGATTAAGAAATACATGAATATGGCATTCTTCCTTGAAAAAGACCTGAGGTTTTCTTAGAGTGGGCTGCAAAAGGGTTGCAGCTTTTAAGTTAGTGTGAAGTGGTTTAAGGTGGGTTGTCTGAAAACTGATGGGAAGTTGCAGCACCTGGTGTGGACGGGTGTGGCTGGTAGCCTGTGGTGAACTGAAGCAGCTGGTGATGTTTGAGGTGTGTGCGTTTGTGTGCAGTACTTCTTCATAGTTGGGTGCGATTTTCTGTTGTTTCAGCTGTTGAATGTTTGTCTTAGAGGAGGAATTGCACATAAGCAAATGTGAAATTCACATTATGCCCAAATTGGTCCCTAATATATTAATCACGTAGGAACAAATTTGCATTCAAAACAATCATTATAGTAGAATGACTGTAACTTTAGACTTAACAAAAGTTTCACAAATAGTACACAAAGTTTTAATATACCCTTACCCAGTGTTCCTAAATATTCACATCCTACATAATCATAGTACATTGATCGAAACCAGGAAATTAACATTGATGCTTTACTGTTAACTAACCTTAGCTCTTATTCAGATTTTGTCATTCGTTTCATTATTACTCTTTCTGTTCCAAAATCCAACTCAGGATCCCATATTTCATTTTTCATTTTATTGTAGTGTTTCTCTAGTCTTTTCCAATCTGGGGCAGTTTCTTAATCCTTTGTCTTTCATGACCTTGACACTTTAAAAAATACTGGCTGGTTATTTTTGGAGTTATCACCCCAGTTTGGATTTGTCTCATGTTTCTTTGTGGTTAGATTGAGATTATGCATTTTTGGCAAGAAAACCACAAAAGTGATTTTGTATTCTTCTCAATATATTATGTAATTGAAGTTGATACATAAGACATTAATTCTTAAGATGTGCTTAGTATTTTTAAGTTTTAGTTGTATAATAAAATTTGCTGTTTACAGTTTACAGCCATTTTTAGTGTGAGGCTTAATATCTTTCATTTTCATCATATTTTACATTTTTTTCTTATGGTTAAGCCATGTGGAAAAGAATTACAGTATTATAGGTATGTTCTTGTGTTCTTTGATTATTTTTATTTCTGAAACTTAGTATATATATTTTTTTCAGCATATTATGGGGGTATAGATGTTTAGGTTACGTATGTTGCCCTTGCCCCCCCTGAAACTTAGTATATTTTTATCTCTTAATTATTCCTATCAATTTGAGAGGGTATAATACTTTTGAAACAGTAGTCTTTATCTATATCGCCCTTCTAAAGTCCTTTTACATAATTGCTATATTATTTTGTTTCAGTTTCAATAGTAATGGGAATTCCCACAGTGAAGAGAGAAGTTAAATCATACCTCATAGAAACTCTTCATTCCCTTATTGATAATTTGTATCCTGAAGAGAAGATGGACTGTGTTATAGTAGTCTTCATAGGAGAGGTAATTATTTAATTGTTATGTTTTTACTGTGTATACTCTATAAGGGTTGAAACCATAATTGAATATTTGAATATGCTTTCATAAACATTTTTTAAAAATGTGATGAGTAAAGGTTATGTAATATATTCCATCTGATAGTTTAATGAAAGTCTAACTTGTTATGTTTGCCTTCATTTCTCTCCTGCTGTTACAAACCAGGAATAGTAATCTTTGTTGTCAATAGGATAATATTATCCACACAGATCTTTAGGAATGTGTCCCCATTTCTAGCTCTAATACCTAAATTTGGAGATTTGCACTGATGTTCTTTGGGAGTCCTGAAACCTAAAAAAGGTTTAGCCTCAGCTGGGGTTTTGTCATCTCTTTATTCTTTCCTCCCCTCCTGTGTACTCTCAAGAAGTCATGTGAATGAGAAATATTATATTTCTTGTATTTTAGTCTCCTCAAAAGATCTAGGGAAAGAATAAATCTTGAACAAGTTTTTCTTAAATCATGAGGAATAAGATCCCTAGAGTCAATGTTTCCTTAATTACCATGTGGAATTTCAGATTGGGAAAGGATCTAGTCCACACTCTAGTTCTGGCCCACTGATTCCCCACTTGATGAGATGAGTTCCCCACCTCCTTTTAAATGAAAGTAGTCCTAATTATTTCCTAAATAGAAAAGTAAACACATGCATACTGTTCAAAACAAATTACATAAATGTATAATGAAGAATTATCTGTTATTCTTCCATGCAGATATAATTATTAATATTTCAAAATATAGCTTAAATAATTTTTCCTATGACTTGTATACTTATATATATGAATGAGATAATTTTATACATATTTTAATATTATGGACATTTTTCAATGCTAAAAAAAGCATCATTTTGTACGGCTACAAAATACGGTTTTCACATAATTTAATTTCTGGTAGACATTTAGGCTGTTTCTGAGTTTTTGCTGTTATTAGCATTAGAATGTATCTTTCGCAAACATTTTCAAATAAAATTTTCATAAAGGCATGAATTATCTCTGGTTTACCTTTCATAGGAGAGTGTTTTTGTAAAGGAATTGTTGTGTAGTTACTGACTTGGTATTAATTCTTAACTGTGGAATTGCTGGTTCAGAGTCCATATATTAATACATTAAAATATTTGTACGTGGCCCAAATGCCCTGCATAAGTTTAGTCAGTTTATTGCCCTTCCAACAGTTTGTGCGACAGAGCTTGCTTCTCTGTTCCCATAGGTACTATTAATCTTTGAGTTTTTTTTTTTGCCAATTTCATGGTTAAAAAAACAATACCTCGTTTTTGTTTAATTTGTATTCATTTACCGAGTGGGATTAAATGTTGATTTATGTGTTTTTTGACCATTTGTATTTATAATTGTTATAACTTTTGCTCATTTTTTAGTTGTGATTTTTGTTTAGTAAGAAATTTTCATATGAGGGGAATTAACTCTTTGAAATATTTTATCCAGTTTATTTGTATTGTTTATGATTTTGTTTGTCTTTTATAGAAGTTTTTACATTTTAAGTAATATTTGTTAATCACACACTGTATACCAGTAGGAATGGTTGTAACATCTTTGGAAAGCAACTTGGTAATAGCTATTAAAATTTAAAGCGTATGCTGTGACCCATCATTCTGCTTCTGAAAACTGATCCAGTAGAAACATTTGCAAGTACAGAAATATATTCAAGCACATAAACACATTTACGTAGCTCTCACTTGTGCATTAATAAAATATATAAGGAAAATTATCTTGTGGAATTTACTCCAAACTGTAAGTAGCAGATATCTTGAGAGTTGGGATTATGATGATGTTAGTTTCTGTTGTATACAGTTTTGTAAAATTAGAATTTATTTACAGTGAGCATATATTGATTTCTAATCAGAAAAAAGCCTTAAAACTATAAAAGAAAAAACTGTCCTTATAAAAATAGTACTCAGTCTATAGATAGAGATTAGTATACATATGGATTCAAGACCCTCTTGCTATAGCCATTCATGTGGTCACTAAGATGCAGCAACACTGGGTTTGGAGCAGAAGACCTGTGTTCAGGGCTGGATTCTGCCACTTACTGCCACTTGAGCAGGTTCTTTCTTTCTCTCTCTCTGTTTTTTTGTTTTTTTTTTTTTTTTTTTTTTTTTTTTTTTTTTTGAGACAAGATCTCACTCTGTTGCCAACACTGGAGTACAGTGGTGTGATCATAGCTCACTGCAGCCTTGAACTTCTGGGCTCAATCAATCCTCCTGCCTCAGCCACTTGAATAGCTGGGACTATAGACATGCACCACTACACCCGGCTGATTTTTTTTCTTCTCCTAGAGACATGGTCTTGCTACGTTGCCCAGGCTGGTCTCTAACTCCTAGCCGCAAGCATTCTTCCCTCCTCCACCTCTTAAAGTGCTGAGATTACAGACATGAACCACCATGCCTGGCCACTCTGTTGAGCCTCAGTGTCTTCATCTCCACAATGAGAATAGTGCTGTTGACCCTTTTGAGCTCAGCGTTGTTGCACAGTGTGGGGCACAGATCGCACGTGGAGAGGTGTTGTAAATGGAAAATGTGGGGCAAGTGTCAGCAGTATTCCCATTTATGAAGAATCCTTTCTTGGATTACAGTATTTATATATGTATCTACATAGAGCCTTGATCAAGAAAGTCTATTCTGAATAGAAAAATTAAAGAGTTCATTAAATCGCCTTTAGGCAATTTAAAATTATTAATCACGATACTTGATTCTACCTTGATTAGTAGTTTTTTACCTAAGTGTTCTGGTAGGCTGGGGCTCGTTTAACACTAGTAACGAGTGCATATTCTGTGGCTTTGACTGTGATCTATACCGTAGGTAGTTCTAGACCTCTGTCTCTTCACGAGCCCATATTGCCCTCTGCCTACTTGATAACATTATTTGACTGTTTTATGGGAAACTCTTAATGTGTCCATAACTAAATTAATCTGGCTTTCCCAAAGTGCTTCTCTTCCAGGTCTCTCTATTGAAGGTTCTTTGTAATATAGTATTAATAGGTCTGTGCCGCAGTCCTTCTATCCCAGTTCATTGTATGGGCCTCGCGTGTTCTCAGATGCATTTGTGCCGTGCCCTCGTCTGAAATGTTGCCTCTCCCTTTGCCTTTCCTTTTCATCCTTCAAGTCCCGGTTTATCCCTTTTGTGAAGCCATCTCCTTTCCCATCTGAATCAATCTAGAGTAAATAGGCAAAAATAAATATGTCCTTTGCAAATATTTTCAAATAAATCAGGAATTTATATAACGACATGAATTATCTCTGGTTCGTTTTAACATACGAGGAGAAAATTAAGAATGAAAAAGAACTGGAGAAGGATACACATAGGCAATCAAGGCTTATAATTTGTTTTTCCTGTTTGACTTTCTGTTCTTTGTATTCTTTTTTTTTTGAAAGGTAAGAACCGTAAGATACCCCTCTGGAAGGAAAGGAGAGACAGAAAACTAATAATTAGCTGTTTTTGTTCTTTGTTGCTCTCTGGCCATTTCATCTGTAGTGGTCCATTGGGCATATTTGATGAGACATTCATAAACATGCAAAATTTTCAACAGTTGACTGTTGATGCATTATTTGAAAATTCACTGACTCTACTCTGGAGTTTCAGAAGAGGTTGAGAGGAATGAATTCTAGCTGTCCTGAAGTATCCATGGTAGGATCCAAGTGTGGTGTTCAGACTTTAAGATTGTATCATTCCTGTGTTTATTTGAACTTAAAGTTTAATTATTTTTTTGTATTCTAATGATCTTTTGTTGTCTGTATGCCTCATTTTTATGTATTTTATGATCTCATGTGTAATATTTTTTATATATTATATTTTTCTATTACTCATGATCATTTCTGGCAAAATATTTCTCTAGAATGTACTCTGGATTCTGGCAAAAAAAAATGCTATTTCTGCTTCATGTTTGTATTGGGAAATTCCCCATCTTACAAATCTTGGTGGGAAGAAGTGCCTTCCTCCCACTATGGAAACTAAAAAGGCAGATATTTGCTCTGCCTGTGCAGGCCTGTGACCTGGGCTCAGCCACTGGGATGTTCTCGTACTGAACTTTGAGTAGTGCGTCATTTTCAGATGACACAAAATCCAAAAGAATGAACAGACAGGATTATTTGAAATAACGGGAATTTAGCAAGGTGGATGTAGGCTCAACTATTATTTCTATATGCCAATAACAAAAAATAAGACAATATAAGGGAGCGGGGACTGTGGACAGTCATTGTGATGATAGAGGGTGGTGGTGGTGGCAGTGTCTTTCCAGGGGCTGCGGGGCAGGCAGGCTGAGGCTGTGGCATTGGGAAGCACTCTGTGATTTTTGGCTGTGGTCCAGCCTTCTTGCTGCACCTTCCTAGCCTCGTTTCTTAGCCTAACTGGGGGGGTCTGTGAGTTCTATCTAGTCGTCTTTCAGTAAGTCATTTTTAAACTATTTTGTCAGAGTCAGTTTTTGTTGGCTGTAACTAAGATCCTGACTGATACAGGTTGTATATTGTTAACGAATACCTGAATTTTATGTAATTGCCACCAAACAGAACAGGCATTCAATATGTCTGTGGGGTAAATGGCTAAATGCTATTCCAAGGGGTTTGGACAAGATGAGATGAGTTTTTTAGGTGGGTTTCAGCCAGAATATTGCCTGAACCGTAGTAATTGGATGATGTTGGTGATAACCACAAAGATTGCTGAGTATTGGAAAGAGAACTTTAGATAGGATATCTTTTATATCATCCTATTTATTCACATCATTTCTGCAGTTTGCCTAGAAGCATTCCCAAGGCCTATTTAATTTTTAAGTTCCTAAACTGTAGTATTTGAGTTAAGATTTTATAATGAAATAACAAATTCATCGTGTTCGAATAGCACCTACAGTTAGTCTCTGAAAAACTGAGTTTAGAGAATTTCCTAAATGGAGTGTTTAGTACATGGTATGAAAAGTTTTGCCTTTTTTTTTTTTTTTTTCCAGTTTTCTCAGTTTACTGTTGTTCCCATTCTAGTTTGTGTTTTACATCAAGAGTGCTTGAAGCCTTTACTATGCCTTCTTTAAATTCGTTGATTTAAGTTGGTTGAACAGGGCTAGCTAGCTGGCCTCTGATCAGAAATTTGCAAAGCAGATAAACTTATAAATGAATACAGAAACCAAACAACCAGACAGAATTGATCAAATTGCTGTGGCATTCTTAGTTTTTATTTTTATTTTCTGTTGTATATTTTCTTTATATTAGGAAACATTTATTTAAATTAATTGTTTGGATAGATAATATGATCACATGGTTTTAACATTCTGTATGGCGTGTTGTATGCGTTGAAGAGCCTCCCTTCCAGTGCTGTGCGGTAGCCATCCAGGCCACCTCTGCACAGGTGACGACCATTGTTAGTTGTACCCATTTAGAGATATTTAACAGCCTCATTTCTATACAGGTGGGATAATGTTAACATTTCATATTAGAATATAAAGAGGCATTTGTACTTCCTTCCAATTTTGATAAGATATTTTCCTAGAAAATTATCCATATCATCTAAGTTTTAAACTTTGCTTTATACAGAGTCAAACCAAGTAGACTCTTGTTCTTTTTGTGGTTGTTTCCCCTGATTTCTTTGTGCATGTGTGTGTATTTATGTCCCCTGCACTGTTTTTGATTGATTGGTTAGTGGATCTGCTTTTATTTGTCAGTCCCAAAACCGTCTTTGAACTTATTTAGTATTTCCTTTTTTTTTGTTTTTTAATTCATTAATGTCTGCTTTTAACATTATTATTAATTTTTTCTTCTTTTTTAGTTTCATTTTTTACTTTTCAAACATCTTGACCCACATGGTAAATTGATTTATTTTCATTGTTTATTTTTTTAATTTAAGAAGTAATATGAATTTTGCTTCCCAGTGGCAACTGCTTCAATTATGGGTTTGTTTTTTTCCTTTTAAATTAACAGAGAAATGTTTGGTCACTAGTTTTCAATTGATTGGTGTGTGTGCGTTTGTAGTTCTTGTTCATAGGTTTTGCTGACTTTCCCCCTTTTTCGTATTTTGTGTAGTTGTTATGCTGGTTCCTTTTTTATGAATTGTCATTGAGGCAGATGAGTTTTTTCTCTAGGCTACTTGTTTACAGGAGGATGAGGGGACAGAGTAATATTCCAGACTAGTTGGGTTTTTGTGAATAATGATTTTATCAGGCTGCTTCCTGCAAATACAGTTAATCTGTGCAGTTCTTCATGTTACCTCTGGTTATTGGAACTAAACTGGATCCCTTTTGAGCTTGAGAATTTTGGCTATTAATATTTTAAAATAAAGTTTGCAGTTTTCGTGTCTGGTTGTCACTGACAATTACATATGATTTCCAGGAAGGAAAGTGGGAAATGCTGGCAATGCCGTGTTCCTGCCTGAACTCTGTGTAGGTGGGTTAGTCTTTTCCAGTGTGCTTTCAGCCAGGGTTTAGTTACCCGGATGTTTTTGAACATTTTTCTACCCCAGAGCACCTGAGGAATACAACAGCCTTAGAAACAGTGCAAGCTCTCATAGTTACCTGTTAGTCATATTTTTTCATAAAGGCAGAAGTGCAGACTTCATTCTAAGTATTCTTTTACTCAGTGAACAAGTATTCAATTAAGTGCTAAAATGAGGGGCATACTGGAGATTAAAAAATCTTTAAAAATCCATTAGATAATAGATGATGTCCCTAAATTGAAGTCTAGCAATACACAGGATATTGTTTTTTCTATACCATTAGTTTTTTTTTTTTTTTTTTGCTTTTTGAAAAAATTATGTACATGGCTAAAGAGTCCAGTAGTTCTACAAAGTTTGTTACATTCAATAGTCTCCTGTCTTCATTCTCTGCTCCCTCCACCCAGCCCCTAGTTCCTGTTTCCTTTGCTTTTCTCTCCCCAGTTTCCTCCTGCTCTGAGAACTTCTAGGTTTTTTAGCTCTGGCTGGCTGGCTGGCAAGGAAGTAGAACTCCCTGTGACTTTATCACTGCTTTCTATTTTATTAAATTTTCTCTCTAATCTTAATTATTCCCTTCTTTCTGCTTGCTTTTAGTTTGGTTTACTCTTCTTTGTCTAAATATTTTAAGACGAATATGTAGATTATTGGTCGATGATCTTTCTTGTTTTCTAATGTAGGCAATTTAAAGCTATAAATGTCTAAATACCACTTCAGCTGCATCCCGTAAATTTTGATATCTCACATTTCTATTTTCATTCAGATCAAAATACTTTATAAATCCCCCTGTAATTTCTTCTTTGACCTATGGATTATTTAGAAAAGTAGTTTTAAAATTTATGTCTATTTGAGGATTTTCCCAAATTTCCTTCTGCTGTTTTCTAATTTAACTTCACCGTGTACAGAGAATATACTTTGTATGACTTCAGTGCTTTAAAATTTATCAGTACTTGTTTATGGCCTAGTGTGTGGTCTATGCTGGACAGTGTTCCATGTGTGCTTAAAAAGAATGGATTGTGTTGTTATCAAGTGGAGTGTGCTTTCTACAGATGTCTATTAGGTCCAGTTGGTTGATAGTTTTGTTCAAGTCTTCTATATACTTGCTGATTATCTGGCTAGTTAGGTGTCTCTATTCTTGATTTGAAATTATAGATTACTATATTGATGAATCAGTAGTATTTTGGGCTGTAATCTTTTAACAGCTAGATTTTAAGATGTTTGTTTATTGGTTATAAATCATACACACTACTATAGGGAAGATAGTACTTGAGGAAAACAAACAAGGTACAGTTTAACCCTGGAAATTATAAAACTATAGGATTAAGTGTTTTGGCAGTCTTTATAACATAGATCATGTGTTATATATCACTGATGTCTTTTAACAGTCGAGCATTTTTAATATAAGTTGTCACTGTATGTAATGTTAATAGGGAGGGCTCTGGCTGGCTTGGAAATGTGGCTGCAGCCCTGCAACCCATGCTGCTGGCCCACTATGTCCTGGGTGTGGTTGCCCCTTCAGCTTCCCAGGGTCCTTGAGAGGGCAAGGATCTGAGGGTCCTGACTTGGTGTGGGGTTAGGAGGAGGCTGGTGTCTGGACCCATGTCCCGGGGAAGTAATAGCTATAATTATTTGCATTTGTCCACTATCTGTGCCCCACTTTCTTAATCCCTGCAGCAATCCTAGAAGGCAGTTTCTCCTATCATCTCCATTTTACCAAGGAACTGAGAGGGCCAGAGAGGTTTAGCAGCTTCCCCTAGGTTATTCAGCAAGTAAGAGGCAAAGTTGGAATTCTCACTTTGGTCCAATTCCATGGTCTTTGCCATAGCACCAGGGACAGACTGAGTTCACCCCTTAGAAGGGATGAGCTAAAGGTGTTCATCTCTGTTAGACACCTGAGAACCAGAGCCTGGAACAAGCCACTTACTACTGTTACGTGTCACCTCCTACAGGCAGCCTCCTCTGATGCCCCTACACTCCAGGCTGGGTTAGGTCTGAACTCAGTTGAAAATGTCTGTTTAAACATATTTCTGCCATACTTAGGCTTATCTTGTTCACTGCAGTGGTTCCAGCCTGGCCTAGTGGGGTTACTCAATAAATTTTATGAAATGTGACTATGTTTTTCATTAAATGAATAAGGAAAAAAAGTAAAATTGAGAGTATTGTGTTTTCACTTGTTCATAATTTAAAAGTACACAGGTCTGATAAATGTTTATTTCTAACATGTAACTTTCTTACATTAAAGTTCTTGACAATTTAAGAGATTTGCATTTCTGTGTTCTATTATATTGCACTACTAAATATCATTGAGTACTTAGTACAGTAGGCAGATTTTTAAGTTTTTATTATTTTTAATTGTCTATGTTCAATTCACTAGAAAAACTGAGCACAGAAACTATTTGTACTTCTTTGAAAACATCCAAACTATAAAAAATGAATAGTTAAAGTGTTCTTGATTTGAGTTCTCAGTATCAGTATTTAATAATAATAATACGGTATAACGACACAACTTTTTCTTACATAGCTTTATCATTTAATCTCATAATCTCTAAGGTATTTCCTCCCACCTTTTTTTTCTTTTTTTAATAGAATAGAAAACTGAAACTCAGAGAAGTGACTTACTTTCAGTCTGGTAGCAAAGAGGCAAATTTTGACCTAGGTTTTATGATTCGAGATGGAAAAATCTTTCTTTTTTTTTTTTTTGAGGCAGAATCTCACTCTTTTGCCCGGAGTGCCGTGGCGTCAGCCTAGCTCACAGCAACCTCAAACTCCTGGGCTCAAGCAATCCTCCTGCCTCAGCCTCCCGAGTAGCTGGGACTACAGGCATGCACCACCATGCCCGGCTAATTTTTTTCTATATATTTTTAGTTGTTTGATTAATTTCTTTCTATTTTTAGTAGAGACGGGGTCTCGCTCTTGCTCGGGCTGGTTTCGAACTCCTGAGCTCAAACAATCCGCCTGCCTCGGCCTCCCAGAATGCTAGGATTACAGGCGTGAGCCACCGCGCCCGGCTGGAAAAATCTTTCTTGACAGCATCCTGCAGGAACTATTAGTACTACAATTCATTATTTATAGTTTGGATGTTTCCAAAGAAGTATAGTGTCTGTGCTCAGTTTTTCTAGTGAATTGAACATAGACAATTAAAAATAATAAGAACTTAAAAATCCGCTTACTGTATTGGTAAGTACTCAATGACATTTAGTACTGCAATATAATACAACAACACAGAAATGCAAATCTCTTAAATTGTCAAAAACTTTAATATTTTTTGTGAATGTTTTCATCATTTATTTAAGTTTGAATTTAATATTAAAAGTTAAATAAAAATATAAAAACATGAATGTAGGTACACTTTCTTTTCTTTCCCAGACAGATACTGATTACGTACATGGTGTTGTTGCCAACCTGGAGAAAGAGTAAGTCCTTCTTAATTATAAACATGAAAATATTTTAGTTACTGTTATCTCTTGGCTTTTTGCTAAAAGAAAATGCCTTTTTTATAGTTCATTTCTCTGTGAAGTTCAGCTATCACTGGTCTTTTACATTGTCATAAAGTAGGTGCATCTATATCTAGTTATCTAATGGTATTTCATTATGGAAAAGACTTGAATGTCGTATGTATGTAACACTATCAAATAACAGTCTCTAATCTTGAAGGCAGTGAATATAGAGAGAGTCATATGAGATTATTTCAATCTTTCATGCTGTGTTTACCAGGCAAAAATTTTTCTGCTATCCAGGCAGATTTTCATGTAGCAATTTCAGACTTCAGTGCTAAACTGTGTCTTAATTTGTTCTTCTATTCTGCAAAGATTCAATACCAGTTTGCTATGAGCAAGGCACATAGCAGGTGACAGATGGAAAGCTTAGTAAGTTTCAGGTATTATTACTTTGCATGATATTGCCTTAGCAATTTTAATAGTGATATAAAAATTAGTCTTGATAGAGGTTTCTTTCATTGAATTGTATCTGTTTTTGTCCCTAAAAGACATACCTTCTACTTAAAATGACAAGAGAAGCAACAATTATTTGCTAACTGTAGATTTAAAATAACGTGGCTCTCCTTGTCTATCAAAATGTTAAAACATTTAAAAAAATATGCATAGTTCAGGATTAAATTGTCATTTGTTAGATTTTCCTCAAGTGCTAAATTTCTTGGCAGTCTTTATAGAAGCACAATTTGGTATAGACTCCTTAAGTAAAGAAACAGCACGATAATTATTGTTAGTTCCCCCTTGTACCTTCCCATAGACCACAGGGGCAGGGCTGTGGGGCTTGTGTGGTATAATAATTCTGTTGATTTACTTCTTCCTTACTGTGTAGAAAACCAAGGTCAGAAAAAAAGTTCAGTTAAGCACTAAGAGCATTTTGTGCAAAGGCAGGTAGTTGCACAAGAATTTGTGGAGGTTTTCGAAAATGAAAGAAAGGAGAATGCAAATGTGAAAGAAATTACATTTGAGTCAGTACAGACTAATTTAAAAACCGTAGAAAAGGGTTTCTCAACCTCAGCACTACTGACATTTTGGGCCAGATAATTTTTTGTTGTAGGGGCTGTCCTGTGCATTACAGAATGTTCAGCAGGGTCCCTGGTGTCTACCCACTGGATGTCAGTAGTACTGTCCATAGTGGCGACATTGCAACATCTCCAGATGTTGCCAGATGTCCTTGGGAGGGATAAAGTCACCCCCGTTCCCCACCGAGAAACACTAGTTTAGAATGACAGGTAGTCTATAACCGACAACTAAAGCTTTCTGAAAATAGAGGAACTTTTATGTTTGCATAAAAATATGTATTTATTTAGATATACACATACATTTGTTTGTTTTTCTTCAGTTCCCTGTTTTCTGTAAGACCTTGATTTTTTTTCTTTAAATTCTGATACATTTTAGGCATGTAATGCCTGCAGTTTGCCTAGGATTTCTACGCTACTATAAGGATAGTGCATTTTACAATGTTTTTAAAGCATTACTTGAAAAAAAGGAAAATCTGTATTTTCTGGTCAATAAAATCAATGATGAGCTGCTCCATTTAACATACTGTGACCCCAGCATTATTCCCTGCTACAAATGATTACTGATGTGTTTTATGTTAAAAACAGTAAATTAAGCATTAAGATAAATAAAATCCCACGGAACTTAAATAACTCAGCTAACCTTTCTTACGATAGATTTTCTAAAGAAATCAGTTCTGGCCTGGTGGAAGTAATATCACCCCCTGAAAGCTATTATCCTGACCTGACAAACTTGAAGGAGACATTTGGAGATTCTAAAGACAGAGTAAGGTGAGCCGCGTCATCATGCAATGTCTTCCACCCATGTGAGTGTCATATCTAATAAATGCAGTTCTTATTGAAGCTTAAAACATTTTAGGGCTGACACTTAACGCTTTATATACAACACCAATATTGTGTGGCCGTCCTTACTTCACAGCCTTCCCAATACTGGACTTTTTAAAATCTTTGTCAATTGTATAAATAAAGCCTATCTTATTGTTTTTTCAAAAAAATTTTTTTTAGAGTTGAATTTGGTAGAATATTCTGGGTAGTGTCATTAAGTTCAGGACAGCTTGTGACATATCTGGAGAAGTTTTGTTAGTATGAATAAAAGCTTATTATGAGCTTTTATTTTATTGCGTTTTTCTTAAACTGGCTTTTAGCGCCACTTCTCTTATTCTGTGTTTGTCACTGTGCTTCTGTAGGCTGCCAGGAATTCACTGAGAAGACTTAATATTTTAAATTTTAATGTGGTGTTATTCTTTTTTAAAGCATTTGATACACATTCATTAATTTCTGTATGCAAAGCACACTCCTAGTCACCAGAGCAGGGATCCCTAAAGTGTCATTTTTGAAGCTCTGGGTTGATGAGACATTACGATGTTACTGAAAAAAGGGCCCCTGGTCAAGTAAGTTTGGAAAGTACTGGATTAAGACAATTTTTTTCCAACAAGTATCTTTACTGCTGGATGTTTTAGTGCCTCTAATGTGCTAGTATGTCTCTAGAAGGGGGAATATGTGTACAGTATTTCCCAAACTTACTTGACATTAGGCTCTTTTCCCTTAGGACATCTTTGGGATTAGTGTTCTTAGGAATACACTTTAATAAAGGCTTCGTTAGAGGAAAGTGAATTGTCTTTGAATCTCTTTCCTAAGTGTGTGTATATACACATATGTGACATGTTATATGGACACTTGAGACTCATATTAATACATGTAATCTTATTTTACTAAATTCGAGTCTGATTCCCAACTTATTTTTTTGAAAATGTCTGTTTCAGATGGAGAACAAAGCAAAACCTGGATTATTGTTTTCTAATGATGTATGCTCAGGAAAAGGGCATTTATTACATTCAGGTAAGTATGGTTTTTCCTTTAATGTTTTTCACACTTCTAAAGAAAAAGTATTATCAAGGGTATATTTTCATTAAGACAGGAAGTTTTGATAGCACAAGCCCTCTAAGATCTGAGATGATAACTGTATCTCAGAGAACAGAGGGGTCTCCATGGTAACTGAGAATGTGGGCTCTGAGGTTTCTTCTCCAGTGAGCACAGACGCCAGCTTTCCACTTAACAGTGAACACGTGCAGCTCACTCATCTCCTTCTTTTTCTCCCATTCCTCCATCTTCTCTCTACACCTCCCTCTCTCCACTGTTAAAAAGAACTAAGATTTAATTATTTGCAAGTTTTAAAGAAGGATTTTCTTATACTTTTTTTTTTAGTGATCTTATGGTAAAATAATTTTTTGTAGGCTGTAATACAGTTCTATTTATATTGAAGATAATAAAATTGAGTTTTAATTCTAATAGTCCAATTTCTAGCGGCATAGCCCTATCACTGTATAAGTAGAATAATCCTATGATGATATGGGTTTTAAGTTAGTCAAGTAGGCAACAGCTTAAAGAATTCTAGGAAGCTCTTATTTCTTCCAAATCTCATTCTCCTTGATGACTTAAACTTAAATTCCACAATTGGAATTTCATTTCTTTAACCAAGGAGTGTCTTTGTTCCTTGTTCAAAATGCGAATACCCTTGAGAAGTATAGCACACTAAGCCTGTCAGTTATTAGTTTTCAATATAAAAAGTCTATTAGATCCTTTTCCTAAGAGGGCATTTCGATGCAGGTGGCAAGCAGAGTCTCTGGGTCCCTGAATCAGAAGAGAAATGGTTGGGCAGCCTCTGGGGGTGGGGTGGCCCAGGGAGGCGGGAAAGAAGGAGAGCATGGCCTCACATGGGAAGGCAGGTATACTGAGGAAAGACTCTGTCTCCCTTGACATTTAACTAGAGCCAGCAATGTTCACATGTGTATTAACTCTTCTTTGACTCACAGGGTGGGAAATGTAAATGAATACGATCAGAACATAACATTGTATATAACAGTACATTAGAGTTTTACATGTAAAAACATGATATCCTAGATTTAGGCAGTACATTTCCTTTAAACACCTTAGAGAAGTCTTTTTTTTTTTTTTATTTCAGCATATTATGGGGATACAGATGTTTAGGTTACGTATATTGCCCTTGCCCTCTCTCCCCCCTAAGTCCGAGTTTCAAATATGTCCATCCTTCGGATGGTGTGCATTGCACTCTTTGTGTATGCATATACCTGTCCCCTCCTCCCCCTCTCCCCTCTCCCCTGCCCAACGTCCAATAGAGAAGTCTTACTTTTAATTTCAAAATAAAAAGGAAAGCATTTGGTTTGAACATAACCCAAATATTGTAGTTGAACCTTACTGTTTTGTTCTAGGGCCAATATATAAAATATGTACATGATAATTAAGAACTTCATATAGAGAATTTTAAAGTGTAGTTGCATTGCTTTTAAAATTTGTTTTAAATTTCTCTCCAAGGGAGAATTAATGGAAATTTAAATATTTTTTGTGGAGTATAGGAAGAGTAAATATTGAGGAAATCGAGGATAAGGTGGGAATAAGAAAGAGGATGGTGAGGAAAACTGTAAGCAGGGTCAGTATAGAAGATATTAAAACAGGAGCAGCAGCTATGAACTTGCACTTAGTGCATTCTTACCATGCACAGGCATTGTTCTTTACAATTTATGCTTTATACTTATTAATTTGTTTAATACAACCTTTTTTATTGTAAAAACATATACCATTATATTTTCATCTTAAGTATTTCTTAAGTGTGCAGGTCAATAGCGTTAGGTAGATTTATGTTGTGCAATATCCCTAGAACTTTTCCTCTTGCAAAGCTGAGACTCTGTGCCTACTGAACATCAGTTCACCTTCCCTGTTCCACCCTGCCCTTGGTTACCAGCTTTCCATTATCTGTTTCTATGATTTTGACTATGTTAGATAATCCATATGAATGGAATCAAACAGTATTTGTCATTTTGTGACCAGTTCATTTTACTTCGCATAATGTACTCAAGGCTCATCCATGTTGTAGCATGTGATGGGTTTCCTTTGTTAAGGTTGTGCAATATTCCATTGTATGTATATACCACGTTTTCTTTATCCATTCATCTGTTGATACACACTGGGATTACTTCTAACTCTTGGCTATTGTGGATAATACTTTGATGAACATGCGTGTGCACATATCTCTTCAAGCTCTTGCTTTGAATTCTTTTGGATATATACCTAGAAGTAGGGGTTGCTAGATCATATGATAGTTCTATCTATAATTTTTGAGGAACTCCGTACTATTGTCTATAGTGACTAAGCCATTTTACATTCCTTTCCACAGTAGATCACTTTGGGTAGTATGGACATTTTAATATTATTAAGTCTTCCATCCATGAGCACAGGATATCTTTCCATATATTTGTATCATATTTGATTTCTTTTAGTATTGTTTTATAGTTTTTATTGTAAAAACCAAACCAAGGAGGTGTAAAAGTTTTTTGTAGAAGTTTTTTTTACACTTCCTTGGTTTGGTTTATTCCTAAGTATTTTATCTTTTTTGATGCTAAGTAAATGGGATTGTTTTCTTAATTTCTTTTTTGGATTGGTCATTGTTAGTGTATAGAAATATATCTGATTTTTATGTGTTGATTTCGTATCCTGAAATTTTGCTGAAGTAGTTTATTAGTTGTAATAGTTTTTTGTGGATTCTTTCTGTTTTTCTATATACAAGATCGTGTCATCTGCAAATAATGATAATTCTACTTCTTCTTTTCCAATTTGGATGACTTTTATTTATTTTTCTTGTTTAATTGCTCTAGCTAGAATTTCCAGTACTATGTTGACTAGTGGTTGTGAAAGTGGGCATCCTTCCCTTGTTCCTGATCTTAGAGGGAAAGCTTTCAGTCATTTACTGTTGAGTCTGATCTTAGCTGTGGGCTTTTCCTATATAACTTTTATTATGTTGAGGTAGTTTCCTTTCATTTCTAGTCTGTGGAGTGTTTGTTTTTTTTTTTTTTTTATCATAAAACTGTGTTGAATTTTATCATGTGCTTTTTCTCTATCAGTTGAGATGATCATGTGTTTTTTCCTCTGTTTTGTAATGTGTATTAGACTGATTTTCGTATATTGAACCACCCTTGCATTGCAGGTATAAATCCCATTTGGTATGGTTTTAATCCTTTTAATGTGCAGTTTAATTCTGTTTGCTATTTAATAGTATTTTGTTGAGGATTTTTGCATCAATATTCATCAGGAATGTTGGTCTGTAGTTTTCTTGTGTCTTTGTCTGTATTGGGTATCAAAGTAATTACTGGCCTCATAGAATGTGTTTGAAAGTGTTCCTCCTTCTTCAGTTCTTTGGAAGGAGGATTGGTGTTAATTCTTCAAATGTTCAGCAAAATTCTTCAGTGAAATTCCCAGGTCTTGGGCTTTTCTTTGCTGGGAGGTTTTTGATTACTGCTTTAATGTCCTCACTTTTTATAAACATGTTTCAAATTTTTTATTTCTCCATGATTCACTCTTGGCACGTTATGTTTTTAGGAATTTATCAATTTCTTCTAGGCTATCCACTTTTTTGGCACATAACTATTTCTAGTAGTCTCTTAATTCTTTTATTTCTGTGACATCCGTTGTAATGTTCCCTTTTTCATTTCTAATTTTAGTTATTTAGCTAAGCCTAGCTAAAGATTTATCAGGTTTATTGTGTTTTTGTTTTCATTTATCTACAGATATTTTCTAAATTCCCTGTGATTTCTTTACCAGTTTGTTCTTTAAAGGTGTGTTGTTTAATTTTTGTATATTTGAGTATTTTCCTGCTTTCCTTCGGGTATTGATTTCTAGTTTCATTCTGTTGTGGTCAGAGAAGATACGTTGTATGGTTTTAGTCATCTTAAATTTGTTAAGGCTTGTTTTGTGGCCTAATAGGCTGTCTGTCTTGGGGAGAATGTCCCATGCGCTCTTGAGAAAAACGTGTGTTCTGCTGTTGTTGTGTAGAGTGTTCTGTATATATTTTTGAGGTCTGTTTGCTCTAAAGTGTTGAAGTCCTCTGTTTTCTTTTTGCTCTCATGGCTGGTGGTTCTATCCATAACTGAAAGTGCGGTATTGAAGTCTCCTTCTATAATTGTGCTGTTCCCTATTTCTCCTTTTAATTCTGTCAATATTGGCTTCATATATTTGCTGCTTATGTAGGGTACATCTTTATAATTGTTATGTCTTCCTGGAGAATTGGCTTTTTTCTTTTTTTTCCCCTTCGTGTCCCTGCCTTGGTAATTTTGAAAGTCCTGTCTTTAAGTTCACTAATTTTTCTTCTGCTTGGTCAAGGCTGATATTTAGTCCCTCTAGTGATATGTTTCATTCAGTTCAGGTTTTGTGTTCATCAGTTCTAAAATTTATGTTTGGTTCTTTTTCATAATTTCTAGCTCTTTTTTGATATTCTTATTTTCTTTCATGCATGATTTTCCTGATTTCATTTATTTGTCTGTATGTGCTTTCTTATTTCACTAAGCATCCTTATGATAGTTATTTTTAATTCTCTGGTAATTCATATGTCTTTGTTTCTTTGAGGTTGATTTCTGGAGATTTAATTTGTTCCTTTGGATATGCCCAGTTTTTCTGTTTCTTTGTATGTCTTGTTTTTGTTTGTTGTGATTTTGACATTTGAATAACGAACAGTGTCTCCCAGTCTTTGCAATCTGATTTTTTACTGGAATGACTTTCTCCAATCAAACTATATGGAGATCCTGGAGCCCTTGGAACCTCTCTGGGTTTGTGGCTGTAATCTAATTGAGTTTACTGGTTCTGCTTAGTGCCTGGTTCTGGTGTCTGCAATACTGTGGTCGCGCCAGTTGTAATAAGCTGCAGTATTGGAGCTCCACCTAGTGTCTGCTATGGTACTGCAGCTTCTGCTGCCAGCTGATGGTCTTTGTTCTTAGCCCCCAGCCTGGCACCCTGTTTCTGCCACTGCTTGGATTTAGACAAGACAAGAAACC